TTGTTCACCATGTAACTAACCCCTCTGGCACTGAGCTATCAAAAGCAGGATGTTCTTTCCTAGTACTTATGAGCCAAGAGAGCATTTTGAGAGACTTGGCAAAACAATAGCTTTTTAATATCAGGTTCTACAGTTTTCTTAGATTAACTCACCATTTATCTCCCAGGAATCTGTTAACTGATAGTTTTCAAGGCCCCTCTATTCCAGATGGCATAATAAGAAACATGGTACCTATTCCATCCTTTTATTGTAATTTGGGGCAGTATGTTATAATCTGGATCCATTAACCGAGATTAAACTTTTTATACCATGGAATAAGAATGGGGTTTCTGTCTCTCTCCTGCTTTACTCTCATGGCTGTAATTGTATTAAGAGGGCCAAACTATGTGATATAGTTATTATCACATAATTAGAAGCAGAGTTCTTTAAGAGATAAAACATGCAATTTATTCTATCACATGATTGTCTCAGTCTGTCTTGTAAATTAGCTTGCTTTTGTTTTGTGATTTGTCATTGGGCGGTGAGCATGGGCTTCATTTGCAAGTCTTGACTGTGCTTTGAAGCAGATGTGGCTCAAGGGGAAATACTAAGAGATAAATATTTCACACACACCCCCCAAATGAAAACTGGCGATGTCTTGCATAGAGAGATCTACTCCCTCTGGTTGCTAAAGATGTCCCTATTTGATCTACTGAGGCCTCAAGCGGAACAATCTTAAGCCCAGTTATGGACAGGGGTTTAAAAAGCCCATAATAAAGGTGTGTCCACAATTAGGAAGACAGAGAAAGGAAAGACTAGAGGCACGAATGTTAGAACGAAAGTGGCAAGCTCCCCCCAGGGGAGTGTGTGTGTGTGTTTAGTCGTTTAGTCGTGTCCGACTCTTCGTGACCCCATGGACCAGAGCACATGTCTTGCATAGAGAGATCTACTCCCTCCGGTTGCTAAAGATGTCCCTATTTGATCTACTGAGGCCTCAAGCGGAACAATCTTAAGCCCAGTTATGGACAGGGGTTAAAAAAAGCCCGTAGTAAAGGTGTGTCCACAATTAGGAAGACGGAGAAAGGAAAGACTAGAGGCACGAATGGTAGAAGGAAAGTGGCAAGCTCCCCCCAGGGGAAGGTAAGGAAGGACTTTAATTTTAGACGAAGCTGATAGATCCAATAATAATAAAAGGGAAAATTATGGTAATAGGAGTAGGAGTAGGAGTACTACTCAGAGTGTAGGGAAGCCGGAAAGGTTACAAGGGAGAAAGGCTACAACTGGGAATCATATAGCTACAAAGGGGCTCCCTGATATGGGTCACATACAGAGGAAGATGCCTCCTACTCAGAAGGGTATGACATAGGTAGGGTAGGGTACCCACAAGTGAAGCAACATCCCTGGATAATACCAAGTACGGAATCTGAAATGGTATTGAGCAGACAACAACTGGGGAACCAGGCTGTTCAAATGGGTCTCGCAATACTGGATATAATTGGGAACAGGGATACACGTACAAGTTCTGGGAGGTGGAAGATAGGCAGGAGGAAAGCACTGTATAATGAGGCTGGTACCACAGTTAGGTTTAAAGATAAAAATTCACATGAGATATATGGGTCCCTACAGAGCTATAGGCAAGATCAGGTCCTTGGGTGGATTACTAGAAGGTCCAAACCGTAATTGACATGGGGATAAAAATACTGCTCTACTGAATAGCAGACTTGGTGTGGTTTACGAACCTCGGGTCACTGAGGATGCATGACATCCCTGCAGACTCCAGTCACCTCCCCGGGGCAAGTCTTAATTAAAATCATTTCTTGGAAAATCGTGGACTGGCCCTCTAAAATAGTAGATAGCCTTTAAAGAATATATTGAGAATTTTGACACTTCACTGCTTCAAGAGACTTGGTCCCAGCAGGAACTGATATTGGAAGACTATGTGTCATTTGTTCTTAAGGCGACTCCTAGTGAAAAAGGGGGTCACTGTAAGGGAGGACTGTGTGTGATGATATCTAATAAGTTACAAGCCTGTGCAAGCCATAGAGATTCCACCTCTAATATTGTCAGTGCTATAATTCTGAAATTTAATTTCTGTGTTTATTGTTAATTGATATTTATATTCCACCTTGGGAGTTGCAGGAGTGTAGTAAGCGGATGTTGGTTGTTTTAGAAGATTATATTGTAAACTTCATGATGATCTACCCGTCTGCCTTTATTGTACAGTACTGACAGACATCTGTAATGCGAGGATGAGACACAATTATGAGGTTCTTTTTGCACATTAGGTTACCATCAATTCCTGCCAGTCTCCCCCTATAGATTGTCAAACGATCAGGGCTGTAATTATACGAGGTTATCCCTTATGCAAATGGTTAATAATCTAGACCTGGTCCTCCTAAATGGAACTGTGAAGGGTGACAGACCTGGGAAACTTACCTCCTTTGTTGATAAGCACCAATGGTACTTCAATGATAGACTATGCCATAATCTCACATTTACCTTTATTGATAAGCACCAATGGTGCTTCAATGATAAACTATGCCATAATCTCACAAGACCTGGTAGGAGCAATAACAGATTTAAAGATTGACAACTGCAGTGATCACTTTGGTGTTGGAGGTTAACCTGGGGGGGACCTGTAATGTCCTCTGAGGAAGATCCAGTAACTTTCCCGATGGCAGAAATTAGAGCTACTACCTAAGTAAAGTGGTCAGCCGAGCAAGGAGACACCATAAGAAAGTTACTATAAACAGAGCCCTATCTGCAGGTGAGTCACCTAATTAGTAAAGCTCATTAAATTACAGATGTACTAGAGAATTTGGGGGAACTATTAAATTCTCTTCAAGATTATTTAAAGTATCAGAATAACAGCAATAGAACACACACTTCCCTTAACCTACACTCAGGACCATGGTTTGACAGGGAATGTAGAAAAAAGAAACATTATCTGTTCAATAAATGTAGACTATACAAAGAACAAGGCTTGGGAAGAATTCCATCTGAATTGAAGAGGGAGTACAAATCCCTGATTAAAAAGTGGAAGGTTCATACTCAGGAAGAATCTTGGCATGAACTAATTGTTGCAACCAAATTAAGGGACTTTTAAGTCCTTTCGGAGAATTGTGTCAAAGGGCCTGATGGTTCACTCTGTGATTAATGAGAGTTGTATACCAGTTAAGCTGCAGAAGCCTCTGTGCTGCAAGGTTGGAAGATCAGCAGTCGTAGGATCGAATCCACGCGACGGAGTGAGCTCCCATCACTTGTCCCAGCTCCTGCCAACCTAGCAGTTCAAAAGCATATACAGTGGACCCTCGACTTACAGACTTTTTGAGTTACAGACTTCTCTGGCCGCAAAATTTAGGTTCGACTTGCAGCCTGAGAATCGACCTACAGACCAGAAAAAAACAAAATGGAACAAAAATGGCCAGTTACAGGATTAATCGGTTTTCAATTCATTGTAGGTCAATGTAGACTCGACCTACAGACTTTTCGACCTGCAGCCACCGTTCCAATACGGATTAATTCCATGAGTAGAGGGTCCACTGTACAAATGTGAGAAGATAAATAGATACCACCATATTGGGAAGGTATCGGCATTGCGTGTCTAGTCACGCTGGCCACGTGACCACAGAAACTGTCTGGCGAGCAACCACTCCCTAGAGTCGGACGTGACTGGACTAAATGTCAAGGGGAATCTTTACCTATACCTTGACCACGGAAACTGTCTAGGAAGCAACCACTCCCTGGAGTTGGACATGACTGGACTAAATGTCAAGGGGAATCTTTACCTAAGGGTGTGGGAATCACACGTCAGAGGTATTTACTCACAGCACCCAAATATCACTGTTAAAATTCAAGAACTGCCAGTTGGGTTAATGGAGTGGCCCCCTGTTTCCATGCAGGAAATCAGCTTGTTGATTTGTCAACTGAAAAAGAGAAAGCCCCAGGCACCGCTTACACCACAGCTAATTTACTACAGTATAACATGAAGTGGCGGGTCCCGTTTTTAGCATGACTTTTTACATGGATTGATCGCTCAGTGGTTATTCCAAAAGATTGGGGGCTTGCTATTATAGTACCGATCTTGAAAAAGGGAAAGCCCCACAGCTAATTTACTACATTATAACATGAAGTGGTGGGTCCCGTTTTTGGCATGACTTTTTACATAGATTGACCGCTCAGTGGTTATTCCAAAGGATTGGGGGCTTGCTATTATAGTACCGATCTTTAAGAAAAGCTATAAATTGGACCAGAGAAATTACCGTCCAATAAATCTAAGTACTATTAGGAAGCTTAGGCGAAGTATCTGTTAGAAAAACTTCAAGGCTGGTTACATGAAGGAAATATCCTGGCTGAGCAACAGGCTGGATTCAGAGTAGGCAGGGCCACTATAGACCAGGCATTAATTTTGCAACATCTAGTGAATAAATATTCTACTCCAAAGAGGGCTCTCTGTATGTGGCTTTTATAGGCTTCAAATCTGCATTTGATTTGATGAAAATATTGACAAAATACTCCTTTTGCTAATGAGGCGACTGCACAAAAATACTAGTCTTAAGGTTATTTTTTAATAAGGCGGGAGCATTATCCAATGCGGTACCATCATTTAACAGGGTCAAGCAAGGTTGGTATTCTAGCCCAAACACTGTTTAATTTCTATATTAATGATATACTGAATAATTTATTGAGAGCAGATTTTAACTCCTTCAAGCTGAGTAGTCACCCCCTCTCAATTTTGCTGTACGTGGATGATGCGGTCTTGATGTCAACTTTGTGTCTGGGTTGATGGAGAATTTTAAGAGCACTAGCCTTGCATTGCTCCAAAGAGCAACTTTTGATTAATTACAATAAGACAAAGGTTATGGTTATTAGCAGAACAGCAACTTCGATTAATTACAATAAGACAAAGGTTATAGTTATTAGCAGAAGACCAACAAAAAAGCGTAGATGGACGTTAAATACGAACAACATAGAGCAAGTATCCTGTTACAGATATTTAGGTATGATATTTCATTCCTCAGGGTCGTGGTCCTCCCATGTGAACCATGTAACACCAAATGCACAGAAATGTAATACTGCGCTGTTGAGGTTCTTCTACACTAAAGGTGGACAATATGTATTGTAAGTAAGCCAAGTCTTCAAAGCTAAAATTATAGCCCAAATGCTTTATGGGGCTCAATTGTTCACATATTCTAATGTACAGCCCTTTGAAATAGAGTTTTTGAGAGGGATCTTCGTGGTGCCTCTATGTGTTTTGAATGCTACACTTAGATCAGAGGCAGGGTTAGTTTCCATCAAAGCATGTGCTTTGGCCCACATGTTTAATTACTTGCTGAAATTTATATTTGGTCCAACAAGTTTGACACCCTTGATGTTAGCAGGCATCTTCCAGTCAACTTGGAAGAGGAATCTATCTACAGTATTATTGAGGATGGGCTTCTCCCCAGGTGTCCTCTTAGCGATGGGCCATACTAATGCCAAGGCAGCCATCAAAAAGAGGATCTGGGATGTCGAGCTTCAAGAACATGTAGTGGTGCTGGACAGACCTAGTGTATTCAGGAATAGTACATTTAGAATGCCTGATTATCTAATTAAAATAACAATCCACACATTTAGAAAAGCTTTTATGTCAGCTAGGTTTAATGTACTTCCGTCTAGACTACTAGAAGGTAGATATCAGAGTTTGCCAGTTGCTAATTGAGTGTGCCCTTGTAATAAGGTGGAGATTGAAAGTGCTGATCATGTCCTCTCAAAGTGCTCCTTCTATCGAGATATTCAGAAAGATCTCCTCCAGCCTATACTGCAACAATTTCAAGGGAGATCTAGAGAATTATGTGTTGCACTCTTACTCTCGGTCAAGAAATCTGATCTAACTAAACCAGTGGTGAAGTTTTGTGTGGCAGCAATGAAGTGTCATTGTTCTCTCCTTGCATCGATTAAAGCGATGACGAATGTTTAGTAATGCTGTGTACTGGCTACCATCTCCTCAGTCTTGTGCAACTATGGAGATTCTATAAAATTTAGTCATATTGTAATAGACTATATATTTTAATTGTATTTTTTGTCATACTGATACAGTATATGTAATAATAATATTTGAATATATCTGCTGGTCAGTGACCGTAATAAAGATCAGAATCAGAATCTGCATAGAGATCAAAGTATTGTGAAAAGACTGAAATATTTTAAAAAGTGTTAAAAGCTTCACTTGTTAGATTTCTCCATGAAAAGCTATTGGTAAGAGACATGGGGATGGGGTCGGGGGAGTATGGTGGTAAGAATCCTGGATATGAAAACAGTGGACTTCATTCCCATGGTTGTGCAAATACAGTCTAAAAAAGAGCAAGAAAAGCTAGGAGGATGCACCAATACTGACATAGTCTTTACTAACATGAAACATGTCTGCCATGTACACAAAAGCAAGAGATTCCCCCAAACTTACTTAAGTGGATCAGATGAAGGCTGAATCTTGTTCCATTACAGGTTTCTATAGTTCTCAAATGATATGTATATGATATGCATATAAATGATATGAAAACTGTCTTGGGGACAGTTTCCAGTTACATGCAAATTAGAGCCAATTATAGAAGTTACATGCTTCTCTAATTTGTAACTTCTTTATTCCTGCAGCGCAGGAGGAAGGAGAGGCGAGGAGGCTCCAGATCATTCATCATTGTTCTTGTTTCCTGGTGATTCCCTTGGCGGGGTATAAACGCAGCTGCAAAAGATGAAGTATAAAACCCTTGGTTTTCTGACCCCAGTTGTTTTATCTGATGAAAGGTCTTGGGTCTTCTCTGGTAGGCCCGGTCTAAACCCCCCACCCCACCCCCCAGAAAAAGCCACCTCCACCTCCAGAGGACTCCCTGGCTGTCCCTGCCACCTATTTCAGTCCCCAAACTGTTAGAATACTTTACCTGGTAATGGCATCATTGTTTTCCTGGTGATTCCCTTGGCGGGGTATAAACGCAGCTGCAAAAGATGAAGTATAAAACCCTTGGTTTTCTGACCCCAGTTGTTTTATCTGATGAAAGGTCTTGGGTCTTCTCTGGTAGGCCCGGTCTAAACCCCCCACCCCACCCCCCAGAAAAAGCCACCTCCACCTCCAGAGGACTCCCTGGCTGTCCCTGCCACCTATTTCAGTCCCCAAACTGTTAGAATACTTTACCTGGTAATGGTGTTATGCCTCTGACTCTTTTCCCTCTTTGGAGTTGTCATCAATTGCCAGCCCTGCTGGTGATTTCGGTGGAGAGACACAAATGCAGCATAAGCAGCAAGTTAGAATGAACTTCCCAGGCCTGGATCTCTTGCTCGAGGAAGTGTCTTCTGGGGTCTTTTCCTCTCCCTTTTTGTGTTATGCTGACAGCGAGCCTCTGCTGCTTTTCAGATTCTTGTCTCTTTAGGACAACATGGCTGTACCTCAGAGAGGGGCAAAAAGTTTCTGCTGGACCAGATATTTAAAGGTGATGAACTGCATCACAAAGTGGGTTGACAAAGTTTGGTCAAGGTATTGTTAACCCGGCAGGCCAAACATGGGAGGCCTGCCTTGTTTTCCTTACTGGTAGCAAACTGGAAACAAGGACACAAGTATACAGAAAGCACTTGTCTTTGCTTTGGAACTATCATTTTCAAAATTCTTTGGACTATTGGGTCCAAAGCCTGGAAGGCAGCCCATCTAAGAGAAGGAAAACTCCAATTTCAAACCCCCCACTGCCTTGTGGGTATATCCACTTATGGAAAAGGCTTCAGGAGTTAACCTCGAGGCAAAATTCGGAGCCGGAGTCCCGGAGGCAGTTCGTGTCATTCTGTCAACTCCTGTGACGTCGCTGGAACCAGTTGTATTGGCTCTTGCCTTTCCATTGGACTATTTCAGTGATGTGGAGAGGGGGGATTTGCTGCTTGGGTAACCGCCTGTCCTCCATATTATTTTATCCAGGCTTCATGCCCTGGAGAGGACACTCCAACTTCGCGTACAGCGTCAAAACGCGTTCAAAGTCCTCCATACAGAGCATGTTACCATAGTCTCCTGAGACTGAAGAATGCCTATGAAGAGTTTGCATAGGAACCTGAAAATTTTACAGGTGCAAAGGAAGAAATGCCCCATAAAAACAACAGACTCATTTAAAACATTTGCTATAAGCTCAACATTGCAAAAGAAAAAAAAAGAAAATTAAAAATTAAGAATACGAAACGTTGTGGAGAAAAACACCTCACAGTCTTCACCAAACATTTATGAATTGTATTGCTATATTTCCACTGCTGTTATTTCCCTGATGTCACCTAATAAGACTTAACTAATAACAAATTAATTCCCCACCACTTCTCCCTGATGCTCCCTCTTAGTTCTAGTCATGGTTCTCAGATAATCTGCTAGGTGTATGTCTTGAATTTAAATTATTAAGAATGTTACACAGTGGCATATTCATCGAACTACTGTACATGCTGTGTTGGGTGTTTCCTGCTCCTGCACCTTAAAGAAACTACAGCCCTATGGAAGTATACTTTGAAGTAAATCTCACTGAGCTCTGTAAGTTCATATATTATGCTGAACTTGTGTTCCTACAGAATGTAAATTGCCCTGCCACTATCCATTATACCCATAGCAAACTGTACAGGAAGCCAGCATTGTATGAGTTCCTCTTCCCAGCAAACCCTGAAAAGTCACATTCTACTATATGAACAAAGCTCTTTAATTTTAAAAAGTCCGTTTTACCATATAGCATGAACTGAACAATTTCAAAAACTCATATCATAACTATATTAAGAAATAACATAGGTGTACATATGGCAAATATGTCAGAATGGATATAAATTATTAGTATAAATGTAGACTATAAGTGTGAATGAATTTTCTTTGCTGTACGCTGTATACCTCCTGTGATCTCTTATGTCTAATAACCTTCTTTGGTGATTTTCTTTCTTTGCTGGAGTGCCCTAATCTTTTAAAACTTTAATCCTGTCATATAAGCTTTCTCGTGATACTAGGGATCACTTGAAGAATAACAAGATAATCACTTTTTATAGCACAAGCTTTCAAGAGACAGCAAGTGTCAGTGAGACAGTTACCTACCTATATGTCAGGTTTCACTCTTCCTCATTCCCATGTTGATTCTGTGCAGCCATGGTTTAATTTTGGGTTTTGAGAACCAGATGTTCTGCACGTGCTACTGTTTGAATACATATTGACCTACTTTGCACATAATCTAAACCATAATTAAGTATTATGTGTCTAAACCATGGGCTTATGTGCTTTCTGTTTCCTTCATCTGTTATGGCCACAGGAAAGAGATTGGAAACACCTCCAGTTTCAGTGAACAGGGGCCTTTTGCAATCATTCAGCTAAGGACTATGGGCCAGGATCCTTGTTGAATTTTGCAAAATAAATCAGGTAAATCATAGCAGCAAATTGCAGCTAATTAATGACATGCCTGGTTACAGTCTGACAAGTAGACACACAACCAGCACCTTGTTAATTAGTGGCAATTTGCCTTTAAATGATTTCACTTACTCTGGAGTAAAGTCCTGTGGATTCTCCGACCATAGTTGGTATTTCAACAAATCATAGTATACAATCCATCTCTTACTTGATCTTCCTTTTTACCTGTTGCTTTCCCCTTTTCCTAGAATTATAATCTTTCCTAGCAAGTCTTGCCTTCTCATGATGGGCTCAAAGTACAATTGTCCTAGTTTTGTCATTTCTGCCTCCAAAGAGAATTCAGGCTTGATTTGATCCAGGACCATCTAGCTATGGAGGAAAGTCACCTATTCATGGAAATAGATCTCATGGTTTAGACCATAGAAAATCGACTGCCTTTGCAAGAGGTTTCAAATGTCCTATTTTGTTTTAAAGAGTCTTCTCAATGTTTTACATGTCTCTCTTTCCTCAGGAAAATCTGACTTTGATCTTTAACAGGCCCCAGGCAAATCAGAGGCATTTTCCTGTTTTATAACTGGCAGCACCATGAAAGTAAACTGGTCTATTCACTCACTGGGCAAACTCCCCTCAAAGGCTGGAGCTCAGAGCAACTCTCCTGCTCTTTTATTTTCCATCACACACACACATTGGAAAATTTATTAGATATGCAAAGTGTGATGTGGTGATGATGCCTTATTATTACTCATGC